TTTCTCCAAAATAGACCACATATGAGTGAATAAAACAAGCCTAGGCAAATGCAAAAGAGACAAATTTTACCATGCATCACAGTGGAATGAAACTAGAATTCAAAAGCAAAAGAAATCATAGAAACTATGCAAACATATGGAAATTAAGCAGCATACTCTTAAATAATCAGTAGGTCACAGTGGAGATTAAGAAAGAAGACAGTTCCTAGAATAAAAAGGTAATACCAGTACAGCATACGAGAACTTAGGGGACACTGTGAAAGTAATCTTATGAGAGAATTTTATAGAGGTAAAAGTCATACCACAAAAATAGCATGAGCTGAAATAAATAACCTAATAATGCATTTTAAGGTCCTGAAAAACAAGAACAACCCAAACTAAAACTTTTACAATGAAAGAAATTAAAAAGATCAGAGTATAAATTAATGAAATGGAGACTAACAAAATACAAAGACTCAATGAACCAAAAAGTTAGTTTTTCAAGAAAATAGACAAACTCTTAGCCAGTCTTATTGCTCCCCCCCCAAAGGAAAGAAAAAAACACCAATTTTTATGCAATTAGAAATGAAAATTGTGACCAGGTGTGGTTGTGAACCCTTAATCCCAGCAATCAGGAGGCTGAGACAGGAGGATCACCACAAGTTCGAGGCAAGCTTGCGCTACATAGTGAGTTCAAAACCAGCCCTGACTCTATAGCGAGACCCTGTCTCAAAAGAAGAAAAAAAACAGAAAAGAAAATGAGGACTCAAAATGGAGACCACTGAAAATTATTAGTAGCTTCTTGATAAACACTAATGCCATTCAACTGGAGAACTCAGAAGACATGGAGAGATTCCTAGGTATATACAAATTGCCAAAACTGAACCAAGAAGACTTAAAAATGTTGAACAATCCAAGAATGGGCAGTGAAATTGAAGCAGTAGTAAAAAATGCCTACCAATAAAAGCCCAGAACCTAATGGATTCACAGCCAAATTCTTAACTTAAGCAAAGATGTAATACCAATATTCCTCAAGCTGTTTAATGAGATTGAGAAGAATAGAGTTCTTCCAAACTCATTCTCAAAAGCTAACATTGTCTTGATCCCGAAACTAGACAAGAATCCAACCACAAAAAAAGAATCATAGACCAATTTCTGTCATGAACATCGATGCAAAAATGCTTAACAAGATATTGGCAAACAGAATATGACAAATCATCAGAAGGATTCTACACCATGACCAATTAGGTTTCATCTCAGAGATGCAAGGATGATTCAACACATACAAATCAAAGAATAAAATTCGCCACTGTTAGGGCTTGTATCTACATGTTCCCTCAAAGCCTCATGCACTCATAGATAGATCTTTCCAGAGCTGGCTGGATCTATGACATATGATACTGGAATTAAGGTTATATGGTATTAAATTTTTCCACTGATTGGAATTAGCATAGTTGCAGGTCTGGTTGAATGGATTTACCGAAGATGGAAACCCCCACACTTTGTGGATGGCAACACCCAAAAATCTTGTAGCTTTTAGAATAAAAAGGGAAAGGCAGGCTGACTGCTGTTGCCACCACTACCACATCCTGCTGTGTCTGCCGTGGAGTGTTCCTCCTGAGCTATTCCTCTCTGCTAGGCCACCATGCCTGGGAACCAGCTGACTATGAACTAAAATGTCTATATACTGTGAGCTGGCATAAACTTTTCCTCTGTTAACTTGTTGGTTTAAGGTATATTGCCCTAGCAATGAAAAAGTAACTAAGATAACCTCATAAACAGAAAAAAAGAACAAAAATCACATGATCATTTCCATAGCTGCAGTAAATAATAAATCAATAAAATGTAGCATCTATCATGAGAGAAACCCTGAAAGAAATAGGCATAGAAGGTCTGTATTGCAACTTGGCAAAAGCAATTTATGACCAACCTATTGCCAATATCATATTATATGAGGAAAAGCTAAAAGCTTCCCCTCTAAAATCCAGAACACAAAGATATCCTTTATCACCCCTGTTCAACAAGTTCTCAAAACATTAGCCAAAAAAATCTAATAAGACAACGAAATAAAAAGGACATATTTTGGAAAGGATAAAAAGTATCATTACTTGCAGATGACTTGATCTTTTACTTATCAGACCCAAAATATTTTACCAAAACACCCTTAGAATTTAATAATCAAATTCAGCAGTTTATCAGAACATGAAGTAAGCACACAAAAATCAATAGCATTCTTATATACTAATAATGAACTCACTGAAAGATCCATTAGGAAAACAATACCTAATTCACAATAGTATCAAGAAATTAAACATCTAGTTGATAATCTAACTACGTAAGTGAAAGATCTCTACAAAAAAATCACATAGACTGAAAAATCAAAATGGAAAAATGTCCCCTGCTCCTGATTATATTTCCAAAACTAGTAATCAAATTTAATTCAATCCCAATCAAAACTGTCATTTCTCACAACAATCCTAAAATTTAAATGGAATCAAAAGAGTTCTGGAAGAGCAAAACCAAATAGCCAGCTAGCACACGGACTGGGAAACAAGAACACTCTTCTACCCGCTTAAGCAACCAGCTGATTCAGAGGAACACAGGCTGAGTTGTTAGCAACTGAGGGACATAAATAATTGAATGCTTGTTTTGTTTGATAACTTTGCAGGCCTAAAACCAGTAGTCTGAGCATTTATTAAGAGAATAATACAGTATATAGAAAATATGGGGGATTTCCTTTTGCCTTATTTTTGAAATCCGGTATTGTTCCCACTGTTTGTTTGTTCCATGTTATTGTTTTGTCTTATTCGACGTTTTATTTTGATTGTTTTATTCTGTTCTTTTTTTTTGGTCTTTTTTCCTTTTTACTGGTACCAGGGATCGAACTCACGACTGCCTGCTTGCAAGGCAGGCGCTTATGCCGCTAAGCTAAATCCCCAGCCCCTATTCTGTTCTGTTTTGCTTGATTTTATTATGTCTGATGGTATGAGCAAAAATTTTGAAGATAACAAGAGGCATTAAAGGTAGCCATTGTTGATTTCCTATTATCCTGTTTTGAAGCCCTGTATCACTTTCACTGTTTTGTTTTGATTGGTTTATTCTGCTTTATTTTGTTTGGTTTTATTCTCTTTAAAATAAAATGTTTAAATAATTGCAAAGCAGTTGACATTATAATCCCAGACATGAAGTTATACTATAAAGTTAAAGTGATTAAAGCAGTGTGATACTGGCACAAAGAGGGAATGTGAATCAGTGGAACAGATGAAAAGAAGCAGAAACAACCCAGGCACATACAGCTATTGGGTCCATGACAAGGGACCCAAAAGCATACACTGAAGGAAAGACAGCCTCTTTAATAAATGGTAGTGGGAAAACTGGACATCCATATACAGAAGATGAAGTCTAGACCCATGTATCTCATCATGTACTAAGCTAAAGTCAAAATGGACCAGTGAACTAATATTAAAACAGAAACACTTAATCTGATGGAAGATAAAATAGATACAACTCTAGAAGACATAGGTGTAGGCAGGTCCTTTCTGAAACAGAATCTCGGTAACAAGAAATAATACCAAGAATCAACTAATGGGGTCATGTTAGATTTAAATCTTCTGCACAGCACAGGATACAACCAATAGAATGAAGAAACAATCTACAGAATGAGACAAAATTTTTGCCTGCTAATCCTTGGACAGATTTGCCTGCTATTCCTTGGACAGAGGACTAACATCAAGAATATATAAAGAACTAAAAAAAAAAAATTAGACCACCTCCAAGTAAAAGACCTAATAAATAAACACTTCTCAGAAGAAAAGGCACAAATGGGCAATAAATAAATGAAAAATGCCCAGTATTGCTGGCCATTAGAGAAATGCAAATTAAAACTGCACTGGGATACCATCTTACTTCAGAAACAATGGCTACCGTCAAAAATCTAAAAATAACAAATGCGGGTGAGTATGTGGGCACAAAGGAACTCTTCTACATTATAAGCTAGTACAACCACTATGAAAGTCACTATGAATATTCATCAGAAAACTAAAAACTAGCATTTCCATTTGACCCAGCTATCCCCCTTCCAGGTATCTTCCCAAAAGCACTAAAATCATGTTACAGGGATACACACATACCCATGTTTATAGCAGCACAATTTATAATAATAGATAATAGGTAATAATAGATGAGTGAATAAGGAAAATATGAGATTTACATACAATGAAGTACTATACTACCATAAAGATTAACTACAGAGATTTGTAGGCAAGTAAGTGGGTGCAACTTGAGAGCATAATGTTACATGAAACAAGTCACAAATTATAGATTCTTTTGTTTTTAAAAACATATCATTATATATGCTTTGTTTCATTTATACTAAAAGTTTATAGTTCATATTATATATTTGTTCCCCTTTTTCTAGGAATCTTTTGGGTTTATATCTTGTACTGATCAGTTACTTTGATGATAACAGTACACAATGTAATAACTTGTTATTCTCATTTGGTTATGAAAATGTTTTTTGATAAGTGAAAGATGCAGAGATAGAAATATGTAAATCATAAATGAATTTACTGTCTTACTTCTTTGAAAGAGTTTTCTTAAGACCATAGTCAGTCAAGTTGTTGGATAGGGAGAGTTCATTTCTCCTCTAGATTTTAGGTTAGCATTTTGGGAGTCACAGGGAAAAATTTCCTTGTGAAGGAGACCAGACCCTTGAGTTCATGTTTAATGACTTTAGTCCTGTAGATCGACTTCTAAGGAAACACAAGGCTTTGCCTTGCTTACTTTCTGTCTTTCTAATAAAGTCTGGTACTGGTTATGGAGGCGACCCCAGTCTGTGGGAACCGTTGGTGCAGATCGCCTAGTACTAGATAGGGTTACGCATGCAAAGATGTTTGTTTCTTCACACCTTTTTATTATGCTGTACATACCCCTCCATTTCTAGTCAGCAGGTTTTGGAAACATAATTTAGAAAAAAGTTTCTGTTCTGTTTTTAAATATTCTTAATTTCTTCTTAATTACAGAGCAAAGAAATTGCATTCCAACTTCATGAGGATTTAATGAAGGTTCTTAATGAGCTTTACACGGTAAGCATGTAATCTTTCTTCTCTTGCATGAATTTTTGGTTCCCATTTCACATTTGTGGAAATGCCGCTCATCTTAGCTGTCCTTCACTGTGACACAACACCTGAGAAAATCAACTTGAAGGAGCAGAAATCTGTTGGGGCTGTGCCTGCAGAGGTTTCAGTTCAGCTGACCTCATGGCTCTGGGCTGGGGGTGAGGCAGAACATCATGGCCAGGAGCAATAAGCCCCTGAACTGCACCCTTCAAGGTAGTCAGGAAACAGGACAAAGAGAGCTGGATCATGTACAAAGCTCCTCTCCTCACACTTAATGATACTCAGAATCTGTAAATAAATTAAACCAATCACGAGGCTAGTACTCTCATAATCCAGTCCTCTCTCAAATGCCCCTCTTCTGAACATCTCACACGGGGCACCAGACTTTCCATACATGAACTTTTGGGTGACATTTAAGCACCAGACATTGAAAAAAATGGTTTTTACTTATATCATTTGATCAATTATGCATGCCTGTGTCTTATAATCTGAGCAACTACTTTGGAGATAACAATATGCAATATATTAACCATTGTTAATTTCCAATGATTTTGTTTTGGAATTCTGTATCATTGTGGTTTTTTTCTCTTTAAAATTAAAAAAAAAAAGAACCAAATATTAATACCTCTCAATTTAGAACTTGCTCCAAACCAGAGCATCAATAGATGACATAAACAGTTTATCTATTTGAAATAATAGAATCAATTAGATGAATGCATAATCCTATATTTTCTTGCTACTCTCTCATTTTGAGAGACCTTGTTGAAGTATGTGTGGGGATGGATATAAGCATAGTTTAAGAAACTATTGTACAGATATCACAAACATGTTTTTAACTAGTCATATGGGATCTTTATGTATGTTCAGTACCAAAATACTCTGTTTTGAACTGTTGCCACTCTGGGACTCAAGGAATTTAGAGTTGCTTCATTATGTGTATTTTAATTTCTTTGTGGGGGAACATTTTAGCTCCGTATTATATTAAAGTTACATTTTTGTGGTCTACTTTTTTTTCCTTACAATAGTTTTCTTTTTGTAACTTATATTTTATCTAGGGTATTGGTTATAAGTATAAAATAGATGTAGTATTTTTTATACAGTAGAGTACTACTCAGCTATAAAGAAAAATTCAAGGCTTTTACAGGTAAATGGGCGCCACTAGAAAACATGCTCACAAGTGAATAAATGAGACTCGCACGTGTAAACACCATATTGTCTTCCTAGTGTAAAAAACTTAAAGAGTAAAAAAGATCTTAACCCTACAATAGATATTGTGAAAGGGGAAGAGAGTGCTTAGAGGGAAAGAACAACTGGGATGGGGAAAAGAGAAAAGAAGAAAGGAGGTGGAGCTAGATGTGTACACACACATACAAGACAGCTAAGATAGTTACACTGCTATTCCTGCTAGTTCATGGAAAGAACATGTGAGTGTTTATATTGTTTGATCTGTTTTACATGCCTGTATCTTGTACTTAGAGCAGCTATTTTGAAGATAATAATATGCAGCATAATGACCATTGTCTATCATCTTGCTTTGAAATTCTATCATTTTTTTTGCTGTTTCATTTTTACTGTTGTGTTTTCTTTGGATCTCTTTAATAAATAAATAAGAAAGAAAGAAATTAAATACTTCTAGATGCCTTTGTTTAAAAAGAGCCAATGCCGGTGAAGTTACAAGTTGGAATTAGTAATATGTCATGTAATTTTTTATACCTGCTGACCATATTTTGAAATAAAAATTTCTTTTTGAAGTTTTTAAGTAGTTTTCGTTTCAGAAAAGAATAAAATAATGTACTGAGAAATGAATATTACTAATTTGTACTAATATTTCCATTGTGCAAGGTTATTTGAATTTTTATTTACAGAAAAATTAAACCCAGAACTTATTAAAATATGATAGATGATTTATAATTTCCATTTGTTCTTTAAAAACCGATGCATGTGCAATATGATTTGGTGAATTCCATTTTTAATGCCCCGTGGACACTTGTTAAAGGAATCTATAAATTAAAATTATACATAATAGTGACATCTCTATAAAATGAGCTTTTTATTTTTTTGTATGTATGATACATCTGCATGTTACAAACTTACTAGAACTGTATTTATGCATCAAACTAACAATTTATGTGTTCATTTCTCCTCCAGAAATTTTTCATTTTACATGCAATCTCCAAAAGCCACATTATTAGGCATACATATGTACCAAATACCTAACTGAGTTTTAGATTACAAGGGCAAATTACTTGCATATGCTTCATATGATTTGTTAATTTCTGATAACCCAAGACATCAACCATTTGTAGAAGCCCTGTAATTTAAAAGTTAATTGAGTGTTGTGCCTCTTGAGACTTTTAAAGAAGAAGAATAGCCGAAATTCTGTGTCCTCTTTTATTATTTGTTTTATTTAAAACAAAAATGTCTTGGTACTTTCTTTTCTGGTTCACTTTGCTTGGGCATTGTTTTATCTAAAATAAAAACTCATCGTAAATGCTTTAAACAAACAAGCCTGCTGGTTGTTAGAGCATCATGGACAGAAACCTGCTGGTGATGGCCTGAAAGTAGGTGTGCTCTAAGAATAGCAGTAGCCAAGGTAAACTTGATCTTCAGATACAAGAGAAGTCAGGAGAATGGCATTCGATCTGTATCTTGGTGAAGGCTATGTATAGTTACATTCTCCTAGATACATTCTATTAACTGTACTTAGACGTTTAGCAGATTCTGTATAGTTGGATCAAGTCACATTGTCAAAATTCTCATCAACATCAGTCTGAAAGCCTACAGGTGCTGGAATCTGGAAATGGTTACCAGAGTTTGAGTGAGCTTGTCAGTCTTTAACCTCTTAAAATCAGTAGAGGAATTAAAGCTTAGAGGAGACAGGTGATGAGATTTTAATTATGTCATCTGTAGATTGCTTTGAGCTTCTGGGAAAATTTTTTACTTTAACCAGAAAGCGTGCTCAAATTCAGAGGTCATAGTTCATAGGGAAAAGACTTCTGATCCCCCTTTCTACCCCTGCCCCTCTCTCTCATGAATGTAAATATATTCTTTTGTTCCAATAGGAGATGGCATTTGTTCTCCTTATACTTCATGCTCACATACACAAATTCTGTCTTCTTCAGATGAAATCAATGCATCCTATGCAGTTGATAGCTGGGTATGTAGTTCAGTGGCAGAGCTAGGTGATGGCACGTGCAAGATCAAGGGCTTAATCCCCAGCACCAAGAGCAAACCAGACTGTCCAGTTTACAGTAGGAAACAGTAAAGATGAGATGTGTTTAAACAGTGGACCAGGAGTTGAGGAAGTATAGTTTAGGACAGTGCTGGCAAACTATTTAGAGCTTTCGGTGATACAAGCAGCCAGCCCACTGCAGCACACATGCCATAGGTTCACCTCCACTGGTTTAGGAAATGGTTTATTTTCCTTATGCAAACATTGACTGGTATTTTGGCTATAAATGAATAATCTGGTTGCATTGTGCATAGAATTTTGTGCAATAGAGTGTGCAATAGTCTGATAATAGAGTAATGAATGCTAAAATAGCAGACATAAATTAGGTAACTGAGAATGCTGCTTAATTGCCTTCTCAGATTCGTTCATTCTTAATCTTTGAAATTCCTTGGTAGTTGAAGGTGAACATTTCAGAAGTATATTAACTTCTTTATACCAGTGGGATATTTGGTTAAGTTGCAGTCAACCTTAGCAATAAGTGAGATTCTGATTAGTGGACTTCCAAAATAGGACATCCTAACTGTAGTCTACACAGCGATTGTTGATATTCCTAACATTCCATCAGAAGGCTTTGTTCCAATAAGACATAAATGCCCACGAAGATGAAAAGAAAGAAATGCTTTATGATTATTTATTGTTAGAGTGAACTGAATCTGATCAGTCCATGATGTGATAGCTGTCATATGATAACATGCCAGATAGGTGCTATGGATAGGGAAGAGAATATAAAATTGAGACAGCCTGAAGCCTTGGTCTTAAAGCAGGGGAGGATGATGAGTGGGCTTCCAAAGAGGAGAGGAAAGGCTTTAAAGATATGTAAGTCCTCTTCTGTGTTTTTGCCCTATTTTGATTTTATTTGCAAAAAAACCCGAAAAGGTCTCAAAACAGTTTCAAACCTCCATTTAGATATGGAGAACACAATGAGGGACAGCCTGCAGTTAAGATTTGTTTGACCATGAATTATGGAGGTACTCAAAATAGTGGCATGAATAAGTTGTAAGTTTATATTTTCTTACACATAAGAGAAGTCCAAACTATGTCACCCTACTGCTGGTACTTAGATTACACAGAGCCCTTCAAGAATCAGGCTCCTGTCTATCCACTGTTCAGAAAACCCCAAGTTGCACCATTTGTCTTCACAGTTCCAGGTAGTTTTGTGAAGTTCAGCAATTACCTCCACATTCCTACAAACAGAATGGAGAAAAGGAAGGGCAGGCTCCTTGCCTTAAAAGGAAACTGGATGTAAATCTTTCATTACACTTTGAAATACAGTCCATTGATTCACACTTATAACAGGATCTCAGAAAGTCCCAAAGAAGTCTGGGAATGAATCTTTTAGTTAGCAAGATCATTGCTAAGCATTTTTAAAAATGTAGATTCCATTAATTTGAAAGAAGAGTTATTTATACATAACCAGCCGTGGCTGCTGGAGGAGCTAATGTTTATTGGATGTTTACAATATTTGTGCTAGTACTGTGCTCAGTACACAATTTACATTGTCTCAACTAATACAGTATCATCATGAGGTGTCATCGCTGTCATTATCCTCCTCCAACAGCCAAGGAAACTAAGGGTCGAGAGGGACTTACCCACGGCCGCACAGCTCACAGAAAAGGGAGATCTCGGGCTAGTCCTGGGTCCAGTTGCCTATGCCCTTTACTGTCATCTTGCCTCCCTCCCTCATTTAGGAAATGTTAACGCCACTCCTGCAATACAGAGAAATTAAGAATCGTAT